CAAAAAATTTTAAATATGGAGAAAAAGGCTTAAGTAAAGCTGGGGGTGGGTAGCTCAGTAGCGAGCTTACCTAGCACCCCCAGCTAAAAACAAAACAAAACAAAACCCCAAACAAGCAAAAAGCCTAGAGGAAAAGCAAAACAAACAAAACAAAAACCCAAAACAGCTGAAATTAATTTTATAATTAACCCAGTGTGCCCCAAATATTATCATTTAAGTGAGTAATTTGTATACTGTTTTTTAGGGTAAAATAAAAAAATGATAAAACCTAAGTAAGTAAAATTTACAATTAATGTAGTGTGCTGAAAACATCATTTAAATGTGTAATCTGTATACAGTTTTTAATCCATTTTTTTAAAAAATTATTTATTCTTATTTTATGTACGTTTTAAAAATCTATTTCTTTTTAAAATTTATTTTTATTTTATGTACGTTGTTGTTTTGCCTACATGTACATCTGTGTGAGGGTGTCAGATCTTGGAGTTACAGACAGTTGTGAGCTGCCATGTGGAAGAACAGTCAGTGCTGTTAACCGCTGAGCCATCTCTCCAGCCCCTGTACACAGTTTTTTATATTTTAATTTATTATTTAAGTGCACATATGTGTCTGCACACAAGTGCATTTGGATGTCCATGGAGCCAGGGAGGGTGTCAGATCCCCTGGAACTGGAGGTTAAGTGGGTGTGAGCCACCAGAGGTGGGGGCAGTGACCCGGACATGGGTCCTCTGGAAGACCAATCAGTAAGCACCTTTAACCACTGAGCCATCTCTTCAAACCTCTGTGGGAAGGTTTTGAACGGGAAGAACGGGTACGTTCGTGTTCACATCGTATCTCAGCCTGTGGCCTCCATTTAGGGCGGGGCAGTTGGGAGGGACAGAAGGGGACCAGAAGACACAAGCCTGGCCAGAGAGCCGATGCCTCTCCTCACACCCTTCACTCCTGCCTGGCTCCCACTTCAGTCTCCCCTCATACCAGACGGCGGCGGCAGGCGTGGGAGGCGAGAAGACTAAATATGGGGCTGAAGCTAGAGGAACGGAGGGGAATGATGTCTGGGTCTGGGGGACCTTCTGAAGGTGGCTACCCCTTTACCCTCCTGCTGCAGGGACCCTGCCAGAGAGCTGGAGGCAGAACGGGGTGTCTGGGCCCTCTGCCCTTCCTGGGGAGCTTCCCTCTGTTAGCGGCCACCACCGAGAGGGAGCACCCCGCTCTAGCAAAGGCATCCTTGGCAGAGGGAGGAACCAGATGGTACTCCCTAGCCTGCCAGGCAGCTCAAGGAGGAAAAGCCTGGGGAGAGCAGCACTCTGGGAAGATATTTATGTATGGTGTCACCCTGTATGCAAATCGAATGTAAATTCACATTCTCTGTCCGTCTCTAACTAAAGCCTTTGATCCCAGCACTTGGAAGGCAGAGGCAGGTGGATCTCTGTGAGTTTGAGGCTAACCTGATCTACATGGTGAGTTCCAGGACTTCCAGAGCAACATAGTGACGGGCTCAAAAAATAAAAAAAATAAATAAAAATAAAAAGAGGACAGAGCTAAAGGTGGGTACTGTTTACATAGAGGCATCCGTCGATTTTTCATTTCTGACTTGCTGTGTGACCTTAGCCAAGTTGCATAACCTACCTGGACTTCAATTTCTTCCCTTCCCTTGTCTGTAAAATGGGATAATAATGTCTTCCTATATAGACCTCTAGTGTGCTGAGCTGTGTCATCCAGTGGGTGCCAGGTCTCTGAGACTTGTCCCTGACTCTACAGAAGAGGTGAAGGGCAAGGGGTTAGTGGTGACTTGGGGATCAGAAATTCAAGGTCATCCTTGGTTACATAACGAGTTCGAGGCAGCCTGGGCTACAAGTCTCAAATAAACCCACAATAAAAATAATCTATTTTGAAAAACTAATAATGGGGGATGGAGAGATGGCTCGGCAGCCGAGGGCGTATGCTGCTCTTGCGGAGAGCTTGAGTTCAGCTCCCAGCACCCACAGAGGCAGCTTGCAACCAACTCCAGCTCCAGGGGGACACAACCCATCTAGCTTCAGAGGGTACCTGCACTCAAGGGTACGTACCCACACAAAGATGCACAGTTAAAAATAAAACAAGGGGGCTGCAGAGATGGCTCAGTGGTTAAGAGCACTGGCTGCTCTTCCAGAGGACCGGAGTTCAATTCCCAGCACCCAGATGGCAGCTCACAACTGTCTGTAACTCCAGTTCCGGGGGATCTGACAGCCTTACACAAACATACATGCAGGCAAAACACCAACATACGAAAAATGAAAATAAACAATTAAAAAATTAGTAAAATTAAACTTAGAGGTCTACTGGTAATGTATCAATAGGAGAGTGTGTAAAAGAAATTTCTCGGTTCTGTCACTCCTGGCTCTTGCTCAGCCTCTCTGGCCATTTTTTTTTTTAATTTTTAATTTTATGTGTATGAGTGTTTGCCTAAATGTTTGTGCACCACGTGCATGCCTGGTGCCTGAGAAGGCCAGAAGAAGACACTGGATCTCCTGGAACTGGAGTTACGGGTGTTTGTGAGCTAGGACCTGGGTCCTGGGAACCAAACCCACGTCCTCTGGAGGAGCAGCCAGTGCTCTTAACCTCTGAGCCATCTCTCCAGCCACTCTGGCCACTGCTTTTCAGATGTCTGCATGGCAGGCCTCAGGCACTCTGTCCACGTTCAGGCTCTGCCCACCTCACTCCTGCCACGGGACCCAGCTCCTTTGCGTTTCACACCCAGGTCCTGAGGCTTCCATCTAAGTCCCTCAGACTCAACCCACACAGAAGGTAGAGCTGAGAGCAAGGGGCCAGCCTTTCCTACAGGCCACACAGGCGCTGGCCTGTCCCCTCTCTGCTTTCTCACGGCTGTGCCTCAGCGTAGGGACTCTGTGTCTGTCACGCACAGCTTCAGCTGCTCGGCACCTGGCCCTGGCACCCAGTCTGGTCCTCTCACGGTCAGCCCTGCACAGCCACGGTGGCAGGCCTCTTCAGTGGCTCATCACTGCCGGAGGGCAAAAGCCAGCTCCCTCAGCCCCTCAGAGGACAAGGGCCTCCTGCCATGACCGGTGGCTTTCTGAAATAAAGTCTGCTCTCACCCAGGACACTGAAAGCTAGTTGGGGCCTTTGTTCAGGCCACTCCTTAAACTTGGGATGCCTTTCTTACCATCTCCTCCTAGGAAAGAGACAGACTTCCACCCCCGGACTAGTTCAATCACTACTTCTTCACGCCCCAAATCACACCTCTGCTGGAGCCCCAGCTCCCCAGGACCTGTGCCCCTCACCCTGAGCTCAAATCCAGAGCAGACAGAGCTCTGCATCTTGGATCTGCATCCCCAAGGCCAGTGCCAGGTCTGCCTTAGGCAGGTAGCTGGTTTGGGTCTGCCCTATTTGCTTCTAAGAATAGATTCTGAAGAGTATCCTATTGGCTAGAGCAATTGATGGGCATGGCTTCCTAACGTCAGCCAATCAGAGACTTCCTTAGGATTTGTCCAAGTAGAGGCTGACTGAAGGAAGGACGCTGTGTGTCCTTGAAGGAGCAGGAGCCCCACTGCTGGGAGTCACTGTCCCTGACTTAGACAGAGCTTATCTGCCGCAGCAGAGGATGAAGCCTAGTGGCGACTGGTGGCCATGAAAATCAGGCCAGAAGCCCCAGAACTGCTGGCACTCAGGTCTCAACGTGCAGCCTCCTTGCATGGCCCTCTCTTTCTCCGTTGGGACCACAGGGTCCTGAGCATTGCTAGGCTCACTGCTTGGTGAATGAAACGGAGAACCCCTAAATCAGAAGTTCAAGGTCATCTTCTACATAGGAAGTTTGAAGTCGATCTGGCCTTACACGAAACCTTGTTGAAAGAAAAAAAGAGAAAGGAACGCAGGAAGAGAGGAGACTACCCCACTGTGAGAAGAAACCAGAGGAAAGGGGGAGACAGGCATAGCACTTACATCATTCACTGGTTGGCCTTAGTCTGGCTGGCTGTCGCCAGGCTGCCCTGAGGTGGTATTGAGTGTCACCTTCTTCCCTGGGACTCTGCAGGGATGGACAGAAACCCATTAGCTGGGGATCCGTGGAGCAACCAGACACTCCCACAGGCTCACAGAAGGGAGACAGTTCTGAAGAGACAGAGAAGCCAGCTTCCCCTAGAGCAGTGGCTCTCAACCTTCCTAATGCTGTGACCCTCTAAACAGTTCCTCAGGTTGTGGGGACCCCCAACTGTACAAGTATTCTTGTTGTTACTTCATAACTAATTTTGCTACTGTTATGAATCGTAACGTGAATATCTGATATGCAGATGGGCTTAGGTGACCCCCGTGAAAGGATCATTCGACCCTTTCAGGTTGAGAACTGCTGTTCTAGAGCCTGTCTCCCTTGGGAGCCTGTGGGGTGGGGGAGAGAATTGAAGTTTAGTACTACAAGCCTGTTCAAGATCCCACTCCCAGCCAGGCGGTGGTGGCGCACGCCTTTAATCCCAGCACTCGGGAGGCAGAGCCAGGCAGATCTCTGTGAGTTCCAGGCCAGCCTGGGCTACCAAGTGATTCCCAGGAAAGGTGCAAAGCTACACAGAGAAACCCTGTCTTGAAAAAACAAAAAAACAAAACAAAAAAAAGATCCCACTCCCTGTTTTAGGGCAGGAATCTCTTTGGCATTCCAGAGAAGTTGGGGCCACCAGAAATGTGTGTGTCTTGTGTGTTTGCAACGTGATGTCTCTGCCCTTGGAGTGGGAAGTGGGTCAGTGGGTAGGACAAGGCATAGCTGACTTCCATCTTGGGACCTATCTCACGGGCCTGTGGACTCTACATGGCTGTGTCTTCAGCACCAAGCGCAGCCAACCAGGGTAACCACTGGCAGGGAAAGCCGTACTCTCTCCAAGTCCATCTCCATGTCCTCAGGGCCAGGACAGGGGTGTGAAATCACGGAAGATGGCATCCTCACTAGGTCACAACTCTAAGGGTTGGGGATTTCCAGGCCTCAGTACAGGCAATAGAAATGGCGTCCCACTTTGGCCGTGGTGGGCAGGTGGTCTGGGCTCACATGCAGCCTTGGCTCTGTACAGCTATGATTTACTGCAGCACAGGCCAGCAATAGCAGGTACCCAAAGGAGGCCCTACAGCGCTCAGTCCCTGGACTGCCATATCCTCACTCTGCCACTTGCTCACACCTCCAAGACCTTGGGCAAGGACTCAACCTCACCAAGTTTCAGCGGCATCGTCTGTCAAATGGGAATAGTAATTAATATTACCTTCGTCACCCGTCACTCATGTGGACGGTTAATGGCTAACATTCGTGGCATTTCTCGCAAGCTTGGCCTAGAGCCAGCCCTCAAGACATGGGCATTAGAAGAAGCATGCTCACTGTGTGAGACTCACCAAGCTCTCAGAGTCCCAGGTGAGGCTTGTCTTTATGACACCTTTGTCCCCACTTTACACGGGAGGAAACCGAGGCTTAGTAAACTAAAGGGACTTCCTGTCACTAAGCCAGCAAGGGAGAGCCGCTCTTCCAGTACATGTCTGTCCAATGGGCCCTTCTCTGAGGGGCAGCTCACTTTTCTTTTCTTTTCTTTTCTTTCTTTCTTTCTTTCTTTCTTTCTTTCTTTCTTTCTTTCTTTCTTTCTTTCTTTCTTTTTCTTTCTTTCTTTCTTTCTTTTTTGAGATAGAGTTTTACTGTATAGCTCTGGCTGCCCTGGATCTCACTCTGTAGCCCAGGCTGGCCTCGAACTCACAGAGATCCGCCTGCCTCTGCCTCCCCAGTGCTGGGATTAAAGGTGTGCGCCACCGCCGCAGAGGCCTAGCTCACTACTTCTGCGACTTCCTCCCACTCGTGAGCGTCACCACGGTGGAGCCCAGCCTTCACCCCCAAAGCCCAGCATTCTTATCCCAATTCACTGTTGGCACCAGAAGCTTCCGTAAGGCTGGATCGTTGCTGACATCCTTTGGCTTGAGGACTCCACAGGGGCCCAAGAGAAGAGTGTGGTTTTGCTCTTCCATGCTACCCATGCTGGGCCCTTCATGTTGCTCACAGACCTGGAGCAAGTCTTGATCTCCAGCATATCCCCTCCATTTTCAGCCTTCTCAAGTCCCCGGTAAAATCTGGCCATGTCAGGGAGGTTCCTGCCACCTACCCAAATGGGATAGCGAAGGATCCTGTCATGCCCCATGTTCCTCCCAGGGTGTAGCTATTGTGGTCTGTTGGGGACTTTGGGGTCTCCACTCACCTCTCTGCCTCTGCTTCCTATGCCTTCTCAGTCAGCTTCCCACCCTTACTTACCCCAGGGTCCCCCCAAAGAGAGCCCTCCTCAGGACCCAGGTTCCTGTTTCCATGACCCTGGACTATTGTTTATAGCTTATTTAACCTCTCTTTTCTTGCCCAAATTCATGTTGTGAATTCCCAGTTTCTGGGACTAAAGGAAGAGAGATGTGTGTGTGTGTGTGTGTGTGTGTGTGTGTAAGTTTTTCTGAGAGCCTGGTCTTGGTCTCTGGCCTAGAGAGATGGCTTGTCCATAATCCCTGGGCTGTCCCCCTCCAGCTCAGGCTCCTTTATCTGCTGTATGGAAAGGAACACCAGCAGTAGCTCCCCAGGACTCCAGCCACATTCCCTCAGCCACCCCAGCAGGAAAAGCAGCTTCAAAGGTCAGCAAGTCCCTCCTCCTCCCCTTGGTAACCCTGAGAGACCAGATCCATGGGGGGCTTGAGGGAGGCGCGGAAGCCTCTGGGCCTGCAGCATTGACCTCAGCTGAGGACTGGAGGCCCTCCTCTTCCTAGGTACCCACTTTCTCTACTTGAACTCCAGGTCTCTGGACTAATTTACAGAGAGCCGCTGTGTGGGATGCAGAGCCGGGGTCCCACCTTTACAAGACTGGAATGCTCTGTGGGCCTCAAGTAACCGCAGAAACGGTTCTCCCATTTATTAAAGAAAACAGGAAGTTTAAGATGATGGCTGCATGGCCACAGACCCGCGTGGGGGGCAGGAGCTGGTGGGGCTTTGGAGCTAGACCAGTGTGAGTGGGGTCTGAATGGGAAGAGCAGAGCATCCGCTTGCCCAGAGGTCGCCTCACCTGCTCCGGGGACCCAGGAGATTGCTCTCACCTGCGGTTGGCGCAGTTGGTCGTTAGGGACGCCTGAGTCGCCAGGGGGCGGGGCCGTGAGCCCTCCGCCCTGGGCGTTGGCTGGCTCCTCCTCCACAACCTCCCCCCTCCAAGGTCGCAGCCCCCCTCCCCTCGCCTCGCCCCCCCCTCCCCACCCCGGGCCCCGCGTGCTCAATGCACGACCCTGTGGCCTTGGGCTCTGCTTTCGGGATGCATAAGCTTTTCGCAGGGAGAGGAAGTACTTCTGGTTAGGAGTGGGGGAGGGGAGACGGCCCAAGCCAAACAAAGGAGGCGGGGCAGGCACAGGTACTTAAGTCACTGGAATTCCCCTGCCGCCGAGCTGTGGACGCCAACTCTGCCAGGGAGCCCCTTCACCTTTCTCCATTAAGGCAGAGAGGGCCAGGGCCTCCGCAGCGCCCCTTCACTCAGCCCGAAGCCTGGCGCCTGCAAAGCTGTCCCGACTCCAGGGATCTGGCTATGCATAGGAAGAAAAATCGCTCTCCAGAGCAGAGGGACGGCGGACTGGTGGAGGGTTGGTTCCAGGGAGGCAAAGCTCAGCTTCTCTGGTCCGATGTCTCTGCGGGTTCCCCGGTTTGGTGGCCCTGGAGGAGCTGGGCCTGTGGTAAGCACTATAGACTGGCCTACCACCAAGCTCCAGAGGTCCGGCCGTGGGTGTGAGTGAGGAGCCAGGCTTCTGTTCCCAAGTCCCTTCGCGCCTCGACAAGTGACTTACAAAGGATCTCTTGTGGAGTCCTGGGCGACCTTGAACTTCTGCCGTTCCTGTCTCACCTCCCCAGTGCTGGGAGTCAGGGGTGTCATTTGGTTTGCTGGGTTTATGCGGTGCAGGGGATCCGACCCAGGACTTAGTACATGCTAGGTACCCTGCCACTTGAGCCACATCCCCAGTCCATGTGTAGACAGGTGCACACGTGTGTCCATGCATATGGGGTTAGAAGGCCAACCTCAGGGGTTACTGTCCATCTTGAGAAAGTTTTCCACTCTTCTGGAGCTCAATGAATAGGCCAGGCTGTCTGTGAACCCCACACTGCACCGCTGGGTTATGAGGGCACCCCACCACAGCTAGCCTGAACTTGGGTCCCCACGCTTGTTACCGAGTTACCTCCTCAGCCCCAGCTTGTCTTCTGCTTCAGTTCCGCCTTGGGGCAGGCGCTGTGTTAACCATTAAAAGCCTGTCACCGGCTGGGCGTGGTGGTGCATGCTTCCAATCAGTGCTTGGGAGGTTGAGGTCTCTGCTAGAGGCCAGCCTGGGCATGCAGGGAGTCCCAGGCCAACCAACAGCTAGCTATACATGGAGACCCTACCTCAGGTAAAAAGTCCACCACTGGTCTGACCACCGGTGGCTTCTCCAAATCCTTCCTCACAGCCTGGCACTCCCTGGCTGTTCCTTCAGCTCAAACACCTCTCAGATTTCCTCAAGGCTCGAACCCTTACCTTCCAGCTAAGTCACCTGGTCACAGTGACGCAGTGAGGCCACACTCCTGTCCTCCTGTGCCCCTTTCTTTCCTTTTTCACTGACCCCCCTCCCCCGTCACCCCCTTTCTGCCCTCCCCCTGGAAGCAGGTCCCACAAGGGGAGAAGCTGTTCTGCCTGGTGCCTGTCACCGCCAGCTGACCAGGCCCAGCTGCCCAAAGTATCAGCAAGCCATCCTGGCCTCACTTCAACGACACAGGATTTTCACAAGACATTCTGGAGACCCTTCCTGGTACCCCGCCAATCCTGGCCCACAGACCCCATCTCAACACTCTGGTGGCTGGATGGTCTGGATTTGGGTACTAGATGCCTTTCCACGAGGGTGGGTGGTCAGATTAGTGATGGGGTACACGTCACGCTGAGGAACGCCACTCTCACATTGCATCTGGGCGTGTGTGTGCATCATCATATATTTGCAGGGGCCCACAGAACGCAGGAATGGGATTTGGGTGATGCTGAAGTTACAGGTGACTGAGACATCACGTGGGTGCTGGGAACTAAACCTGGGCCTCCGGAAGAGCAGTGAGCACTCTTAATAGCTGAGCACTTTTTTTTTGTTTGTTTTTGTTTTTTAAGACAGGTTTTCTCTGTGTAGCTCTGGCTGTTCTGGAACTCACTCTGTAGACCTGGAACTCAGAGATCCACCTGCCTCTGCCTCCTGAGGCACGTGCCACTACTGTGAGACCAGGTCACTCTTTTTTAAACAACAAAATCCTCCAGAACTTACAATCTTCTGCAAAATACTTTTTAAAATTTTTTTTATTATTTTGTGTGTGTGAGTGCTTTGCCTGCATGTATGTCTGTGTATTATATGCATGCCCGGTGCCTGAGGAGGTGGAAGCCTCCATGTGGATGCTGGGAATCGAACCCAGGTCCTTTCCAGGAACAAGTGCTTTCTGTTGATTGTCTGTTTTTGTTTTTCGAGACAGGGTTTCTCTGTGTAGACCTGCCTGTCCTGGAACTCACTCTGTAGACCAGGCTGGCCTCAAACTCACGCAGATCTGCCTGCTTCTGCCTCCCCAGTGCTGGGATTAAAGGTGTGCGCCACCACACGCAGCTGGAACAAGTGCTCTAAACCACTGAGCCAACTCTCCAGTCCTGCGAAATACCTTTAATAGGCACCCTCAGCTACAACAGCCCAGGTCGTCACATTTGTTGGGGTGGCTGCTTCTCAGTCCTCTTCTGTTTCCTCTAGTCTCTTGGTGTCAAGTGGCCCAGGTGTCCCTCTTCGGCTCAGATCCCTGGTCCTCTGCCCCAGCCTCCAGGAAGGCGAGGTGGCTCCATGAGGGCTCCAGACGCTTGCCTCTGATTCCTTCGGGTCCTGGTGGGCCTGGTCAGAGCTGGTTGAGTGCGTAAGCTCGGGCTGTCCCGAGGGCAGCCTCCAGGTCAGCAGTGTGTCCAGTCCCCTGGGCTATCACTCGAGAGCCCCAAGCCTTGCCTCCCATGTGGCTGCACACAGCCAGTGCCCAGGCTTCTGCTGTGAAGGTGGCCGTGGCACCCTGGGGGAGAGAATCCAGAGGGGAAGCCATGTGGCACAGTCTTTACTGCATTCAGCAGACCCCTGGGGATGCAGGCCCCGGCAATGAGCACCCTCTCCCAGGCTGAGCACAGGGCAGGGCATCTGGTGAGGCCGCAGGAAAGGGCTGGACTGGGAATATGGGTGGAGTGGTGAACACCTGAGACTTCTTTTCAGGAACTGAGGCCTAAGAGGCAGGTGACTAAGAAATCTCACCATGCCTCCTGGGGAGGGGATAGGGTGTCTTCAGGGACAAGGAGAGATTACTCGATTCCTGTCATAGGTTATCTCCCCTTACACTTTATCTCCTGCTTAGAAGGAGTAAGAGGTGGAACCGGAGCTAGGCGGGGGCATTTAGGACGGGCTCTCGGGGGCCCCCTCACCTGGGCCACCTGGCAGGCACAGAGAACGCCGCCCGTGGGCTGGGGGCTGAGCAGCAGTACGGACATGCCGGGGGTCTTTTCACACAGCTGCCGCACCACCTTTACCAGCACCTGCGTGAGGACGACCCCGTGACTCACCATCCCCAGCTGCCCGGGACCTCCCAGTCAGGACCTGGCCTCCTGCAGGCCACCCCCCACCCCTCCCCGCTTCACAGCACTCACTGACAGGGACTCCACCGAGACAGTGTCCACCATCAGAGGCCCCTCTGAGTGCCGCTTCAACAGCTCCTGGGATTTTTCTGCAGCCTGTGGGGCAGGGGGAGCAGCAGAGGGGTCAGGCATGGACATTCGGCTTCTGAACTGAGCTCGGGTCTAACGGCCCTCTCCTTCCCATGCTCTCCCTCGACAGAGGCCGTGAGTTCCGAGGAGAGCTGGCAGGGGCTCGGGCAGGCATGGCCTGCTTTCTCGGGTTCCATCTGTGACCTCCTGAGACTGCCTCACTTCTTCTGTTCTGTCACAGGGCCCTACGAAAGCTGCTGAAGGTGAGAGCAAGAGGCCAGATGGCACAGACGGACTGGGAGGGGACCAGGAGCCCTCAGTCAAGGAGCGGTTAGGGCTGATTGGCATTCAAGTCGGGAGGCTGCCTGTGGGAAGGGCTGGGGGAGAGCTACAGCAGGCCGAGGCACATGGCTTGGTGATACGGTGCCCGGCGGCAGATCAAGGAGGAAGCTGCCTCCTCTCCCAGCTCTGGAAGCTCCCTAGGGTTGGTGCCGTGATACCCGGGAGCACCAGGCATGGCTGCGCCTTCTCTCACCTGGCCCTTCTCCAGTTTCCGGATGGCGGTGTTGGCACGGCGCTGCAGCACCTTCAGCGTGGCCTGGAGCTCCTGCCGCTGCCACTGAGGCACCACAGCGGAGTCAATGACCTACGGGAGAGCCGAGTGTCACCCTTGCCACAGCCTCGGAGGAAGGATGACAGAGCCGGGCAGACCCACCCTGAGGACAAGCGCGGGCCAGCTGGAAGGCTGGGGAGGGACAGGAAGGGTCCAAAAAAGCACGGGGAAGGCACGGGGCCAGTGGAAGGCGAGGGTGGCCCTGACCTCAGTGAGACGTCCTATGTCCTTAGATAGGCGATGGGCCTCTGGCAGGTCCCTGATGCCCCGGCTTAGCCGCTCCCTGGCTGCCTCAACTTCCTGAGCCAGGCTCTGGCCCACCTCTCGGGCCTACAGGAGGGGCAAGAAAGTGAAGGCTCCCAGACGCGACACTCGCCCTCTCCCAGATGACACTCGCCCTCTCCCAGACTACACTCGCCCTCTCCCAGGACGGGGCCTCGTCTCTCACTACAACCAGGGCCATGTCAGAAATGGTTACCAGTTGGGGCCGGTCAAGGCTCCAGTCCTAAATCAACAGCTGCCAGCTGCCAGCAACTGCTACAGCCGCAGCAGTGAGTGGACAGGGATGCTGGCTATGCCACTGGGCATCCCCGCGCCTGGGTGTCAGCTGTGTGTCCCCTCAACCCCCAGAGTCAAGTCTCCAGGGCTTCTAGCATTCTGACCTGCTGGGCCTGCTCCCCAGTGACGGCCAGTAGGCGAGTGATGCCCTTGACCAGCTGCCGATCCCCAATGATCACCAGGTCCCCCACGGCCCCGGTACGTAGCAGGTGCCTGTAAGGAAGGCGAAGAAGTGGGTGGTGGTGGAGAGAAGGGACAAGTCTGAGCCCAGAGCCA